TACTACTTATATACATATAAATATATATATGTGTTCTATAGTTCAAGCTGCTCCAAATGAAATTCAATATTTTAATGCACCGTACTTTTGCAACGAAAAGTACCAAGCTCAAAGGATATTTACCGATATCGTGAGTTTATGAATATTCAATGGCGTACTTAACAATAAGTCCTTTGAGAAAATCATGGAGTGGTGCTGGGTAAACCTTTAGCAAATAACATTTGAAATTTTCTTCATGGAAATATGTATGATGTAATATACTTATTGACAAAAACTATTGAATTTTGTTGAAAATGATTTTTTTGTATGAATTAGTTGTTTTAATTTGAATTACCATGATCATCGTATATTTTTGTTCTATTTTAACAAAAGTATTCAAATAAATAACTATATTGTTAGTTATATTTATAAAATTATTTCTCTCTCACAATATATCGAATTAGTGAAACGAATGGTGGTTTCGAAACAAAACCACCGTTCAAAAGATTTCCCTTAGAATAGAGCATTCTCGGTGGGCGTTAATGGGACAGATTAATAAGAGGTTTTTCACGAGGTGAGCATGCTCCCATCTCGACTGGACCGGCACTATACCGTTATTTCTCGCTCAATTAAGAGCTCAATTAAGTCCGAGGGTCCTGTCGACCGCAGTTGTTCGATAAAACGTTTTCAGAGAGACAAAGGGAGACCAAGAGAAATAGAGAGAGTGAGAAATAAAAAATAAGGAAGATATTTTTCATACCTTCGAAATGTGTTCACATATTTTACAAAATATTTTTCTTTATTTTTTTGTGTTTGCCTATAGTCGTCTTTATCACATAAATATAAAATTCTATATAGAATATTATAATAATATTCTAAATCTCTTCTACATATTTATGCATAAAATGTTTTGAATATACATATCTATTCATAAAATATTCGAAATATTCATAAATATAGATATAGATATAATAGATATATAGATATCTACTCAACAATACAAAAGAGATGACACCGTCAGTCAGCCACTCCTGTGATAGCTCGAGTGTTCTCCTGCCATATAAAAAATATTCTTGTGTATGGATGTATATATCAGGAAGAGAGAGAGAGAGAGAGAGAGAGAGAGAGAGAGAGAGAGTGAGAGAGTGAGAAGGTTCCTGTCGGATATGCCTTTTCAATAGGACACAGACAGCACGTTCGAGCGATCCATCGAACGACCCGTCGAACTACCCATCGAACTTTGCCACGAACGATGAAAGAATCGAAAGGGTGGCCTGCCACGTCTATTCTTCTTTCCTCTCTCTTTCCTCTCTCTCTCTCTCTCTCTCACCTCTCTCTCTCTCTCTCTCTCTCTTTCCTCCCTCTTTCCCGTTATACACGGATCACAGAACATCATGCAAAATCCTGATTCTACCAGTGAATTTTTCTTCTACGAAATTTTTTTCTTTTTTTTTTCTTTTTTCTTTGAAACGATCTGACCATGAGAGAAAGTTCATTTTCTATTTTTAGCCTTGTAATGGAAAAGCATAAAATATGTCTGCGATGGAAAGTATCTTGGTGTATTGTCTGCATATAAATACTTTTTTAAAAGAATTGTATTTTAAATCATTCTGATTTGAGATATAGATAATTAAAATTATTAAAGATCTTTTTCTACTATATTTTCTATTCTTTTTTCTTTTCTAGCCTTATCAATTATTTGTTACGAATGATGGGACCAAAATTTTCTCGTTCTCTTTCTCTTTGTAAAATATTTAAAAGATACATTAACGTACTCTTTGAAGAATACAAGAATTTCATTTCTTAAAATTGTAAAAGAAATAAATGGTGAGATATGAATTTATATTAAAAACATGAAAATGTAAAAAATGCTCTACTTTAAAATACGAATTAGCTGAGATAAGATAAGAGTAATTAAATAAATTATGGCATTTAGTTAAAAACAAAAGGAAAAGAATTTTATTAACTGCGAATAGATACTATCTGTAAATTATACTCAATATTCTCGAAAATATTACATTATTTTCAGTTTAATATTCTTATTCAGATATTCACTCCAAAATATAGACTGATCCTTATTTCATATTGGAATATATCATTTACAATGCAATAATATGCGTGCTGGTAATTAAGATAATGGATTAAATAAAAAAAACATCGTTAAAATAGAGTTTATGATTAAATTTATAAATATGAAACAATAAAAACAAAAGGGAGAAAAGTTGATATAAATGTGAATAAAACAAATCTCGTTAGGTATTTTAATATTTATTTTTTTTTTATTACTTTAATAAATCAATAACAATATATAATACATAATAGATATGAACGAATAACAAAAAAGTATGAAAATTGTTAAAACTTTTTAACGATGTCTTTTTCTATACGAATAAAAAATAGAGTGAGAGAAAAAAAAAAGAATTGTCAAGAGAGAAAGAAGAAGAAAAAGAGAAAAAGAGAGGGAAATAAAGTGGTATGGGATGTTCGGAACAAAATTAACGTCTGATCCTCGTTAGAAGTAAACTCGTGCATAGGCCGGATTTTCTCTCGATCAAGAATTCGTGGATAAAACGGAGCGAGAGCGAGAACGAGAGCAAGAGAGAGAGAGAGAGAGAGAGAAAGAGAGAAAAAGACAGGAAGAAGGACGCATAGAAGGCAAAATGCTTCTGTTTCCCGTCTCTCGTTGAATGGAACTCGTTCGGCGAGGTACCGATTCTGGAGAAAGACCTTATTATGTACCCTCGGGGAGTCCTGCTATCGCGTCGACGTTCAAACGACTGAGATAGCTATATGAACTTGAAACGAACGGAAACGAGATATACAGATGGGACAGAGAGAGAGAGAGAGAGAGAGAGAGAAACAGACGTAAAAACAGAGATGAGAGATAGGGATAGAAAGAGATAGACTGACACACGGATACAAAAACTGGGATGAGAGAAAAAGATAGAAAGAGATTGACTGAGAGAAAAATAGAAAAGAAATAAGTAAGAATGAGAGGATGACGATAAACACAGATAAATAGGGAGAAAGCTAGATTTACCGAAGGAGAGAGAGAGAGAGAGAGAGAGAAATAGACAAAAATAGAGATAATAGAGATAAACAAAGAAACAGAGAAAAATGCATAGATCAAAAAGAGATAGAAATAGGCAGACGGGCCGAGAAGTAAAGAAGCTAGTGAGAGAGAGAGAGAGAGAGAGAGAGACAAAGACAAAGAAGTCGCGATAAAGGGAGAAAGAAAAACACATTGAAAAGGAGAAAGAGAGGGAAAAAACCGGCTAAGCTGCATTCTGCTTCGTAACGTCTCATCTACAACTCGCTTCCTCTCTTCTTTCTTCCGACATATTATTATTATTATTATCTTTTTTTTCCCAAATTTTTATTTCCTTTTTGTGTTCGTATCTTGATAATTCAAAGCGAAATCGTTTCCGCGGCATAATCATCTCATTAAATATTTACGTTCATTACTTATCGTTGATTTATTCAGAACTTCTCGTCTTTAATTAAATTGCTTCTTCTTTATTTTTTATATATATTTCATATGTTCCTTATTCTTTTACA